TCGAAGTTTACCGCAATTCTGTTAGTATTTTAAATTTCTGATGATTAAATAACTTTTTTTGTGTTCTAACAAAAAATTTTTATTTAAATAATTAATCATTAAAAAAATATATTATTAAATAATTTTTAATATATTCTATAATATAATATAATTTTTTTATTTATTTTATTATAAAAATTATTTGTAATTAAATTTTTTTTAACATTAATTTTAATAATAATAATAAAATTTTCAGCATCTAAAATATTATATATATTATTTTAATTAACTAAATTTTATTATATAAAATTATATAATCATTTTTCATATAAAATTATAATTAGTATTATATATAATAAATTATTTGAAATAATAATTCTTCTTAGTATTGCATATAATAACTTATTTGCAAATAATAATTCTTCAAAAAATTTAATAGTAATATAATATTTAATATGATTAAGCCATTTATATTATACAAGTTTTGAATTTATATATTATATAATCTAATTTATTATTATTAATAATAGTATTAAAAAATAATATAATTTATAAATTAATAATTATTTTAATAATATTTATATTTTATATAATATAATTAAATTTTTTATATTTATTACTAAGGATGCTTGCCTAAATTCTTTCAGAAAAATATTGTCATAATTTTGACAGATTACATACAGTGGAAATAACATAATTATGTTATTTCCACTTAGTCTAGGTTATTCCCACTCAGGTATGTGTCGTGACGACAGAAATGCGACACTGTCGTCAGTGTCATGACAACAGAAACACAACACCGTTACCAGTGTCATGATATATATTTTATGACACATTTTTGATGATAGAAATGCGACACCGTCGTCAGTGTCGTGATATATATTTTATGACACATTTTTGATGACAGAAATATAACATCATCGTCAGTGTCATCTGATTTCCATTGCTGAACCACATGAGTAAAAAATATGCTGACTATGCATTCAATCGTGTGTCATTATTTGCGGGCCCGATGTGAGGGCTATGCCCGAACTGGGCATGTAGTGCCCTTAGCTTTTTGGTTAATTCCTCTATGAGAGCCAGGTTTGAGGCACATAGTGCCGAAATAGTATTTGTATTCTGGCTTTATATAATGCATTCGAATATCGATCGAGGATGAGGCACGTAGTGCCGAATTGTTAACATATCTGGTAATACACCAAAGCATCTGATGATGAGGCACGTAGTGCTGAATTGCTAACTATTATAATGCACTCGAGTATCAATCAAGAATGAGGCACGTAGTGCTGAATTGTTAGCATATTTGATAATAACACCAAAGCATCCAATGATGAGGTACGTAGTGCCGAATTGTTAACATATCTGTTGATACCCCAAAGCATAATTTTATATATTATATATCTTTCTGTAATAATTATACCTTGGGGTATCACTTTTTTTCGATACCTATTTATATGTAATCCCAAAGCATAATTTTATATATTATATATCTTTCTATAATAATTATACCTTGGGATATCATCTTTTTTCAGATTTAGCTAGCTTATATTGATACCTAAATCGTACTTTTTATATATTTCAAAATATCATTATATCGAAAACTTTGGGATATCCCTATATCAAAATTTTGGAATAACATTATATTGAAAACTTTGGAATATCATTATATCGAAAACTTTGGGATATTATTATCAAACATGTATCAAAAAATGTGAACACTATTTATAACCAGAAAATGAAACCTGGAGTATCGCTAATTCGAAAACTTTGAAGTATCATTTTTTTCGATACCTTGAAGTATCATTTTTATTGATACCTAAAATAGACAATACAAAAATGGTTATCGACTCCTGATACGTATATTATATGCGCGTTTTTTTTCGGAATGCGACCACTTTTATTTCAGAACTTTATAATCTAGATATCAAAGTATTAATTTTTGATTTGAATTTTTTCTCATACTTATTGTAAGAGGTGACAAAAATCCCCTACCTGAGATGAATAACTAGTTAAATGTAGCAATCTCTCTGCTTCAGAAATTACTACTAAAACTAGATGATATTGTCTTAGTACCTTATGCTTGCTTTATTAAAAGATTTATAACGATTATGCATATTCAATGATTGCTAGAGATTTATTTTTCAATTCTTTTTTGTGTGGAATAGTAGGAACTTTCATTTTAGTCTCAAAATTTTGCTTGTATTCCAAGAAATCAGCCTCACTCATACTCTCACGCTCTTTTTTCCAATAACTGAGAACTCATTTTATATAATATACTTTTAAAAGATCAGCAAAAAAAATATATCCGGTAATGCATTTAGTCATATGTCATTATGCTATATACATGTTATCAGGTCATGTTATTGCGAGTTTTCTTTAAGCACTTCTGATTTTTCTGTCATTTTCTCTAGCTTTTTCCAGTAATAATGTTTCATATTTCAATACTTACCACCATGCCTTGTACATATTGCTGATATAGAAAAAGTTAACTTACCATACTTTTTACATGGTGTACATATAGGAGAATTCCTATTAACATGACAGTCTTCAACTTCATATTCCTCGTTGTATACTTCTTTGTCACCAAATAGATCAATCATATTTATGCTAAATTCTTTAACAATATATATCACATAGAATATTTAATAGAAAAATTAATGCAATCGGGACATGCTATATGTATGCTAGATGCGTAAGCATTCTCACTCTGTGAGTCGACCAAAAAAATGGCTTGAAAAATATATTAAAAGCTTGTAATAAGTATTTCACTAATGGCCAATAGTGATATTATACAATAATTTTTTTTCGTACATAAATAATATCCAAGTTTAAATAGATGTTCGCCTGATCCACATATTTCACAATCGATCACTTTTTTTATGACCCTTTAGAGTCGCTTCTTCGGGCCTGCAGAGCAATGGCGCTTTGAGCCTACCTATATTCCATGTGCATCTCACAAATCACACAACCGCAATAATTAACAGAGCAAGAAAAATATATGCCAATAGCGGTGACATTAAAGTGCTTGCCACAGCAGAAAGAGGAAAAGTCTCGAGACTAGGTCTCATCTGGGTATTCGATTTAATCAAAGAGGACATATGCAGTTTAGCACTAATTTCGCTAATGCTAGTTTCATCACTTATCATGGGGTTGATCTCAGTATCATTTTTTGGTAGTTTGATAATCTCACCATCAATTTTTTCAGCTTGATCCATACTTTTTCCGCGTACAAAATACTTATTTAGATTTTTGCTAGATGAGACATAGCCTCGAATCACTGATTCCTCATTAATTGCAGATATATCGTCAGGCTTGGTTATGGAACTTTGTTCCTCGCACAGCGTATTTTTTATTTTGAAAACAATGGGGCTTTGCCTCTCGTCATCTCCACCAAGTACGGATAGGCTGAATATAAATAAGTACTAAAAGTACTAGTAACAAGATCACTTAAAAGTTGTGTTCTTTAATAAAATAATCTGGATAACTAAAAAGTATTCTCAAAATTTCTAAGTCAAATATATATAAAGATAATAATATTTATACTATAACAAATATAACTTAAAGATAGATTTATGAATTATAATAATTCAAATATAACTTTACAATTAAGATGAAAGATTATAAAACTAATAATTTTAATATAATTTTGCAATTAAAATGAGAAATTATGAAACTAATAACTTTAATATAATTTTGCTGTTAAAATAAGAGATTATAAAATTAATAATAATTCTTTTATTCAAAAATTATGACAAATATACTGAAGTAATTATACAAAAAACAAGAATATTGTTGTAATTGAATATTTTTATAATTAATAAATAATTATTTTAAATAATTATTTTAAATGATTACTTCAAGTGATTATTTCAAACAATTATCTGAAATACTTTAAATAATTATTTTAAATAATTATTTCAAATGATTATTTCAAATATTCTGAATGATTATTTCAAATAATCATTTTATAATTATCAAATAGAGTATATATCTTAATTTTAGAAAAATAACTAAGTTTGAAATAGTTTTAGTTTTATATTCATTTAAAATTTTTGATTTCAAATTTAAATTAAAAAATCAATTTATAATATTTTTCAATAAAATATATAACTTAATATTATAAAAATTATATAATATATAATATAATATATATATAATACAAGTTATAATAATTATAATATTGACTTAAATTATTATAATATTAACCAATAAAATCAAATTATATAATAAAATAATTACATAATCTGTTTTAATTTGAACAAAACATAAAAAATATTTTATTTTAAATACTTATAACTTTTATATAGAACTTTTTTTAAAATTCTAATTAGAATTTGATAAAACTTATCTTAAAAACAATATTATCTCTAAATTCTTTCTTTATAAAATGCTGATAGATCTTAAAAATATTATCAAGTTTAGATGAAATGCATTATATAAATTTTATTGAACTAATAATTCCAAGTTACTTGTTCAAATTAGTTTTAATTGAACAATTTCTGATTGGTTGTATTTCTTCATGCAAAAATACATGATTGGTTTTTCATAAAAAATCAACGCGATTATCTATCATTTTTCACAAAATGTTCAAGCAACTTGTTAGAAATCCGACTTCTTCGCTTTCTTCACTCGCTAATAATGTAAATCTGCGTTTTCTTTTTAATACTCTTTCGCGTTGTTCTTTAGACTTACCTTTTACTCAATTAAAGATTTTCTCTCGTGCCGCGAGCTCGGCACGAATTCCCGATGTGCAAACTGTAAGATACATTTTTTGTCAATGAAACATGTTTTATGTTAGTTTAACTGTTTCCCATAATGCCAAACAGTAGTGAGATGTTTTGATGTTACGGGTCAGCAATAGCAGTTTTGTTTCTCTTTATGCGCATTGGCTAAAAGATCGAAATTGGCATATTTTCAGTCATATGCATTGATTTATCGTTTTACGTGTTGATTTTTATAAGTGGTGTTTTAATTTTGATCCAAATTATTGTAGGAGAATTATACTAAATATGGTGGTAAATACACGGTAACACTAATACCTGGTGATGGTATTGGACAAGAAACCGCTGCAGCTGTTAAAACGATATTTAAAGCTGCCAATGTTCCAATTGAATGGGAGCAATTAGATGTTACCGGTTATACGGAGAAGGGTGATGTACTGTTTCAACAGAGTGTCGATAGTATACGGCGAAATAAAATTGCTTTGAAGGGTAAATCTTTATTTAAATAATCTATAATTTGTAACTTTATCATTTACAATCGAATTTTTATAATTAATAATAGGTATTCTTTACACACCGATATCAAAACTTGGACATTCCTCTTTTAATGTCTCTATGCGAAAAGATCTTGATATTTATGCATCTTTGGTATTTATAAAGAACATAGCGGGATATCCAACACGTCACAAAGACGTCGATTTTGCAATAATTCGTGAAAATACCGAAGGCGAATATGCCGGATTAGAACATCAGGTATATATATCATTAGATTTTATAGAACATTAAAATTACATAAATTAACAAAATACTTCAAGACATATCCAGGAGTGGTGGAATCTTTGAAAATTGTGTCAAGGGAAAAAACTGAACGAATAGCTCGATTTGCTTTTGATTTCGCACTCAAGAATGGGCGCAAAAAAGTGACATGTGTACACAAAGCTAACATCATGTACATAATTAATAATGTTTATTTTTTAACTTAATTCTTTTGATTTTCAACGTTAATTCTTTTTTTCCTATTATCAATCAAAAAGGAAACTTGGCGATGGTCTCTTTTTGAATACATGTCGTAAAGTCGCAAAAGAATATGAAACAACAGGCATTCAATTCAATGACATGATTGTTGATAATTGTTCTATGCAATTAGTATCTCGACCTCAGCAATTTGATGTGATGGTGATGCCTAATTTATATGGTAATATTGTCAGTAATGTCGGGGCAGCATTAGTTGGCGGTCCTGGAATCATACCGGGAGCTAATATTGGAAGTGATTTTGCCTTGTTTGAACCGGTAATTTATTAGAAAATCATGAATGTTTGTAATTTAAATGATTAAAAAAATATCTAAATGAATCATTTTTATTTATTACATAGGGTTGTCGTCATGTTGGTAAAGATATTCAGGGACACAACACTGCCAATCCTACAGCTTTACTTCTTTCAGGGGTAATGATGCTGCGTCATCTTAATCTTGAAGATTTTGCCAATAAAATATCGAATGCTGTTTATAAAACAATCGAAAGAGGAACGGTAAGTATTGATAATCAAATAATTAATTAATTATTTTTTATTCTAAAAAATCTTTCGAATATTATTATCGTATTTAGGCTAAGACACCAGATATGGGTGGTTTCTCGACGACTACAGACTTTACACTTTCTGTCATATCCAATTTGTAATGTACAAACTTGGATTGCGGATATTATTTTCTAGATCTTAATTTATGCAAAATTAAATAATTATTTATTTTTTATTTCAAATTCTGCCGTTTTTAAGTTTTTTCTTATTTTGAATGTAAATTCAAATTATTCGATTTTTTTCTTGAGCTAAAAATAGTAATAATAAATGACTCGTCGTTTTTAGGCACTCGATCTGTTTTTCAAAGGCAGAAAAATTCGTTATTTAAATCGGTAATTCTTTAAACCGTTCTTACTAGATTTTTTCACTTTTTGGAATGTATGCTAAAGATAAATATATCGATTCTAATTCTATCTCAAAAAAAGAAAACTCGATTTCCAGTAAAATGCAAGATTTTATACAGTGCTAAAAAAAATATAACTTTTCGCGATTATCGGTCTTTTAAGTCAAAATTCTCTGCAAGAAATTTGGTCATAAGCGAATGTAGCTTTGAATAAAAAATAATGATTAATATTCAATATAGAAATCAATATTCGTAACAATAAAATATTGATTATATAGTTTGCTTACCTCACGATACGCATTATTTTTTGCCATACTGTGATCACTATCAGTGAAAAATTGAACCTGATAATTATGTATAGAAGCGAGTGTGAGGCGATCAACAAGCGCGGCAGTCTGTTGGAAATGCACTAATATATATATAAAATCAATAATTAATATAATAAAATATAAAATATAAAATATATCTCAAACTAAATCTTACCATTATCTTTCGAATTAATAAAGAAATCAATTATCAATATTTTTAGAATAAACGTTCCATTTGTTAAAAATCAAAACAATAAGAGATAAACAAACCATCTCCTGTTCCGTGTATTAATAAAAATTTTGTGTCAACAAAACCAGTCATATTCCAGATTGCGCTTTGTCGATATCCATCACGATTTAATTGTGGTGTCTTCATATATCGTTCAGTATAAATAGAATCGTAAAATCTGCATATACGAAATCAAAGCATATTTTAGTTTTAATTAGTTACTCCTATCTCAGTTCTAATTATTTACCTCCAATCAGTGACAGGAGCAACAGCAATCGCCAGCTTAAATATCCCAGAATTTGCTTCTACAACTTTACCCGTCAAATACGCACCATAGGACCATCCCCATATTCCTATTCTATCACAATCAACGTAATTTAAATTGCACCAATATCGACCTGCATTAACAACATCCGTAGCCTCTAATTCACCCAAGCGATTTCGAACTCCCACCCGAAATGCACGACCTTTGAATCCAGTGCCTCGGCCATCAACTATCACGACTATGAAGTTTGGATTCATGGATGATACCAAATATGTATGCCAATCTATTCCGAATCTATTATCGACCAGTTGTGAGCAAGGACCACCATATACTCGAAACATTACTGGATATTTTTGGTGCCCACTTTTATCCATATGTGGAGGCCGAATTTCCAGTGCATTCATTTCTAGCGATATATAATCAAGTATAAATGTATTATCAAATTTCTTAATTATTTTTTTTTGCTTTACCTATTCCTCCACTAATTATTGAAGTTCGGTGTATGGTTGGTAATTCTTTGTTTTCTAATAAATGCCGTAAATATGTATTATCCTCTAAAATATTTTCAAATTCTTTTTATAAAATAACAATAACAGTAAATAAGTTAATTCGGTCATTATATTTCAAAAAAAAACAATAGAAAATCATTGCATACTTGATTCATTAACTCTTAGGACTTTTTGCCATGGCAAATCTGGTCCCTCATACTTCAAATTATAATATTTAGTGCCAGGTGAAAAATCAACCGAATAATGTCCAGGTTTACTAGTATCCGTTAACGCGGTTTTATGTTTTCCATCAAAAGTGATCGAGTATATATGTCTTTCAATCGAGGATTTTTCTGTGCTAATATAATATCTAAAATAAAAATAATTAACATTTTATAAATATAAAAAACAACAAATACTAACAACGTATAACATACATAATCTCATTATCGTAATCAATTGCTTCGACTCCATCAACAACTTCCCATTCTCCACTCGTTAAAAATGTGGCATTGGGTGAATCAATCGGGGAAAATAAAGCAAGATGATTATATCCATTATTGTTGACAAGATCAATATATGAGTCTTTTTTATGGGTGTCTGATTCCGGAATATAAACGATACTTTGAGCCTATTCGATAAAAATTCTTTATAAACATATAAAGAACTGAATGAAAGAATAAATAAACAAGTAAAATTACAGACAATTTCAAACCATCCTCCGTCTTGTTCTTCAGCATTTTCTTCTCTGACTGTATTTCCCTTACGAGAAGCAACATCAACAAGCACAACTCGTTGTATATCTTGTATTCTGTTCATCTCACGTACAAGCAAATAATTATCTCCGGCCCAAGTAACTTCAGTGATAAGTCGATCATGTTCATCGAAATCATTTGCTATTGATATAGCCTCTGATTGCTCGACTACCGATGAATCTGCTATATCATATATATGAAGTGTTACGCGAGGATTAGGATACCCAGGTTTAGGATACTTCATAACAACCTCGTCAGTATATGGCTCTCCAAAAAAGCTTTTCATGTATAAAGGAAATCGATATTCGGGAACTTCTGTTTCATCAAATCGAATATATGCAACTTTTGTTCCTTCCGGTGACCACCATAATGCATAATTACTAGCGAAAACTTCCTCTATAAGAATAACATTTGGGTGAATAATAGTTATTGATTTTTACTTAAAAAAAAAAATAATTTCACCTTCGTAAATCCAATCGGGAACTCCATTAAATACATTGTCAGTACCATCAAATGTTATACGTCGTTCCTCAGTCAAATCTATCGAAATATATAAATCATTATTTTTTACAAAAGCCTATTCATTTATTGATATTAATAATAAATTTATAATCTCCAATTAATGATTGTGCTCAAAGTAACGAGGAAAAGCATAACATTCTTCAAAGTATATACAAACACATACCACACTATGACCTTCCGGACTCCATGTAGCATATGCAATCTTAGCATGTTGATCGTCAGGAACCAGAGGAAATGTTTTTTTGGACGTGATATTAAATATCCAATAATTGGCATATTGTGAATAACGCCATTGCTAAAAATCCATATTTAAATAATAGACTAAGTAAAAAAGTAAAATAAAATTTACAAGGAATTGAACCAGCTTATATACTGAATGATGATTACCTTCAATTGATTGGTACCAAGTAACACATACAAGGAGTCAGAAGAGACTTCAAATGAAAAATAATCGATTGGCTCGCCATAAGGCTATTTGGTATTTTTCATCAATATCGTGTTCATAAATGAATAATAAGATATAGTCAATATCAATAAAAAAGAACAAAATCATAATTCAAAAATCAATGCATACACACATACGTCAACAATATCTCCACCGGAAACCAACACCTTTTTTGAATTATCAGCAATATGCTCCATTATTATATTTTTAGAGTTATCTCGATACGCAAATACTCCATCTTCTTCAGCTGTGTAATAATAATAATCAAATCAATAATATGTTCTAAATATCAGTTTCCCCGAGTTCATTGTAGACAATTTCAGAGATAACCAATAAATATTACATGTTGCACTCCATTCCAATTCTTTCCAAATAGGTCGATATAATCCACTGAGAAAATCATCAAATCCTATTCGTTTTGATGTGTCTGATCCACCACCATCATTTTTCGTCCCAAACAAGGTATAGTATATTATGGCGGCAATCAACCATATAAGAAGTAGAACAGCAGCGATTATCAGACATGGGCGTAATGACTGTTCGTTTTCTGACTAAACAAATTGAAGATGTATCAAAGATGTATCAAAAATCAACCAATATTTAAAAAAAATAATGTTCACTCTCACCTGATCAATGTCGTAATCAGAGGGCTCGACCCAGCGTTCCTCCGGCTCCTCCATTTCCACTATAGTGTCCTCGTCTCTCTCTTTGACGAGCATTCTCTCATTCTCCGGATTCCCGATGTTACGATTTTCTTCATTTTCAGTTGTCGAGCTATCTTCAATAGAACTACTAGCCGCTGCTGAGTTTTGCCCAGCTTCCGATTCGCTACCAGGTAATGAAACATATTTCGTGTCGGTCATTCTTTGATTTCGGGCTTAAATGTACATAATTCAGCTAGCTGAGCTGCTATTTTTTTTTTGAGAATCGGCTCGGCTAATACATGTACAATACTGTATACAATTTTCCAAAAATGGAAATTAATTAATTCAATAGTTAAACATTCGAGTTAGATTGGCCAGATCTAATCATAAAAATAATATTAGATAATTTATCCTGAAAATTAATTAATTCCTCAAAAGAAGTAATATATTCTTGGTAATCTGTCTTAGCTAGTTTGCCTTTAATCTCAATGCAATCTTTTTTTTGTATATGATATTTTCAGATTAATTTAAAAATAATCTAATTTAGTTATATTATTGAATCTAATAATAATTTCTTTCATAATGGAATTTTATTATAAAAAGATTTTTTATATAATGTGATTATAGAGGCGTTTGACTATATAAAGAGATTTTTTTATGATTGGTTGATTGTTCAAAATTTATATTATAAGATTAATTAAGAATTGATTATACAAATTTAATAATTCAATGTTATAGATTAATATATATGTAATTATTCTAAGAAATAGTCATATTTTTTATTTAAATAAAGATATTTATTATTTACATTTATTGTAACTTGAATAATATAATTGTTATATTATTATAATTAAAATAAAATAATTATTTATAATACTTATTATTAATAATAAATTATAATTATTGTAATTGAAATTGAAATTTTTGTAATATCTCTTTCAATATAAATATTATATATTTCACTATTTATTTTTATTGTTATTATCATTCAATTTTTTGATTTGATATTCATTAAAATATTACAAATATTTCAATAAGAATTGGATATATTTATTGATATTATATTGATATGAATTTTAGCATAGCACATGATCTATTTTAATTAAATAGTTAATTTTTATATAATTTATAAATTACATTCCCTTTTATTTCATATTATCCATATTTTTTTCATATTATCTTAATTTATTTTATATTATTTTATACTATTACTATTAAATAAGCTTAATATAAAAAATACATATTAATTAATTAATATTATCTTATTTGATTAATATTAATTATAAATTATATTGTTATAATAGTAATATAAAAACTGTTAATTCCAAAAATAATTAAAAAATATAAAATATTCAAAAATAGCAAAGATCTCTCAAATTATTTTATCTTTTATTTTATTTTTTATTTTACTTTTTACTTTTATTATATCTTTTCAATTAGTAATTTTATTTTTTAGATAGTTATTATTATTTGAAATTGTATTTTCAGAAAATATATAAATAAAAATGTTATTTGAGTCTTAACTCAACATGTTGTAACTGAAAATAAAAATCTCTCTTAACAAAAATATTCTTTTAAATAACTTTTGTCTCTTATATTTTCTTTATATACTTCAAATTTTGTGTATTGTTACAATTATTTTCAATAATTCCGTAATTAACGAATCTTTTAAAAATAATAGAAAATATGAAAATCTTC